AAATCGGATGACATTTTCGTGAAATATTCAAATACACTTTGTGATTATGTTGCTCATTGTTCCTTTCATATGAATGTAGAAGCGAACCAGTTACATGAGGATTAGGTTAACTGGTATCCATTCGTCTTTATAATCGAGACGAATAAGGAAACATAAAACGCTAAAATAGCTTTTGTAGATCACTAGTTTGCTATTATTAAATTTTGATGCATCTGCAGGAAAACAAAATGTTTATACACTGATGTGGTAGGGATTGGTCATGACGCTTATCACAATGAAATGAAACGTAGGTGTAATTATTGTGTAACCTACGGAACTTGGAAACTCATGGGATCTGATTTCAGGGGTGTATTACATTTCACATTCCGTGTAAGCTCGATCTGTTGCTTATAACCACAATAGATGCTGCTTTTATAAGTACGAACCACGAGCACCAGAAAACAATAAAGAGACTCCCACATTGCAAATGACATATTGGCACCAGAAAAAGGATATAAAATTATATCGTATCAAACAGTGGCATAATACCGTTGGTGATTCTCTGTCATTGCAACTGCTCTTTATCATAATCAGATTAGGGCTTAGATAACACTAAATCAACTTCAAACCACAGCCACTTTCGCAAGCTGATAATTTACATTGCGTGCCCCGAATTCCTGATCCTAAATTATCGTTAGCTCCGCACTCCAATACTCATTTTTATGCACATTAATGGTCACTTTGCTACACGCCGATTCATGTAGGCTTCGAAATCAGATGTTAATATTTGTAGAACTTGAATGTGAATACAGGAAAGCTGTTGTATGTGATGGACAAGATAAGCCTAGTGTGCGACTAAACATGTACAATAATAAGTGTTTGGACAAATATGAATGATGTAATCAATCAAGGTGCAAAAGCATGTGACATACAATCATGGATAACGTTGGTGTGATGTGATATTTTATCGTATGATAGATATATTGTCAGATGAGAGTTAGATTCAAGATAGGTCCCTGGGGATCCAGGTCGATGCGAAGGTGACTTCTTTGCACACTGTGGAACATCTAGCATTTACGTCAGTCACGTTCCAGCCTACGTATCGATGTCATTGCAGGATCCATCTTACATACTATTACCTTGAAATCGTTCTCCACAAGTATGAATGTCATAGACCTATCTCTGATCTGCATCATGTAAATCATAGTCCATCGATCGTAGCGATATTTTTATAGGAACCCTGTTAGATGGAATTCAGAGTGGGATCCAATTATCACTTA